ACCGAGTCTACCAGGAGCTTGGCTGTGATGGGGAGAACGAGGGGCATCTGAAAGGTAGCCTAAAATGAAGGAGCATGTGTGGGGACCCTGGGGTGAGGGGGTGGGGGCAACGGAGGCACCGAGCCAAGGATGGTAGTCTAACTGCCAGAGTCATACACCGATCTTGCTCTGTGACCTCGTGGTGGCTTTGTCCCAGATGTTCGCTCAGGGACACTTTTGCGCAAAAAAAAAAAAAAAAAAAGTGTGAAAAAGAAAGATCGTTGGCCTGGGGGGAGTGAGCACACCTGAGCTCCAGACCCACTTTCGCTAAGCAGCCAGGTGACTTCTGAGCCTTTCTGGATCTCAGCTGTAAAAGAAAGCAGATGAACAGGTGACCAGAAGGTCTCAGCACTCGAATCCTAAGGCTCTATCATCTTCTCCCACAGGAAAGCACGTGAGCTTGGAGCACACAGAGCAGAGGAAAAGTGGAGAAGCAGCCTTTCAGGAAATTCAGGGACTTTTCTGGGATTTGCCTCTGCAGGAGGTTTGATAAGAAGATGACACAGCAGACACCAAGTCCAAGCCAGCACCGAGAACAAGGGTGGGGCTTACACTGAGAAGGCAGGTTAGACTCACTGGGATAAGTACCACAGAAGAGGAAAATCAACCCACTTCTCTTCTCTTTGGTGAAGGAATACACAGGCATTAGAATGGCCTTAGAACAGCTTTAACTACCACATACACATGCTTACAGTGCTCTTCTTAGGGTAACTGACAAGCATGAAGAAATGAGATGTAAGTGGCTTTAGGAAATTATAAGGGATGACTTCTCAAATCCTTGATTTTGAAGAATAATAATTGGGAATGTTGAACTGGAGAAACAACTAAGAAAAGACAGTCAGAGCTTGGATGGAAGGGAAGGGCTGAACCAACCATCCTCAAGCAAGAACAATGCACATTTTCCCACCACATCCCATAACTTCACTTCCTCATTCCTCAGAACACACATAAATGATGGCTCTGACATTTGTTACTAAAAGTGTCTAAGTTTCTTGGTCAGTAAAGCAATTATTTAGAAAAAGGAAATGACCTGAATAAATGGAACCTCCCTGTTCCATTACTTGTCTAAATGACTGTTTAAGACAGTCTAGCATTTTATTTAAAAGGTAATCTATAAGACTACTAAATTAAATGAGATATCTATAATAGTGCCTATAGGGGCTGGTGCGGAGGCATAATGGTTAAGTTCGTACGCTCTGCTTTGGCAGCTCGGGGGTCGTGGGTTCGGATCCCGGGTGCAGAACTACGCACTGTTCATCAAGCCATGCTGTGGCAGCATCCCACATACAAAATAGAGGAAGACTGGCACAGATGTTAGCTCAGTGACAATCTCCCTCAAGCAAAAAGAGGAAGATTGGCAACAGATGTTAGCTCAGGGTCAGTCTTCCTCACCAAACAAAGGAAAAAAGTGCCTACAATAATGCTTAGCTCACGCATAGAGCTCTATGTATGCCTGGTGTGTTTTTAGAATATTCTCAATTGCACTGGCCTGACTCTATGGTATATTGTGCTTCTCAACTTCAAATTTTCTTCCTAATCTGGAAAACATAGGCTTGGTTTAAAAATTATATAAAAGAAAATATAAGTTGTATTTTAAATTCTAAACTGTAATCAGGTTGAAGAAATTCTGTAGTCTATGCAAGGAGCAAAATGTGAGTTCATGCCTATCTACTGTCACAATTTTCTCTACTTTTCCTCAGGAATTGTCCCCTACCCACTCCTTTAGAGTAGTAAAAATATATATATATGGGTACATTGCTATAGGCACCATATTTGATGGTTTCGTCGCAGCTGTTAACCACCGTTAATTCTTTATGCTCATCTTCTCACACGTTTAAGTCTGAAATAGCTTCAAAGATCTGTTAACCCTCTGAAAATATTTGCTACTTTTGTGCCAGGAGAGGGACAGGTCTCTAAAGAAAAACAACTCAATTCCACTGATGTGAAGGTGAAGGATCACGCACATTCTTCCGCTGCTCTCCATACATCCTCAGAGAGCTTTTTCTAGTGTTCACACTAAAAATGAAGAAAATGAACAAGTTTTCACTATCCAAATTTGGGGAACAGCGCCCAAGCTTAACAACTTGACAGCCCTGCCTCTGCCCCGGGGCCCAGGCCACATGCTGGGCTGCCCCCGGAGCAGCTGCACTCATCAGAAGGCAAGAGCCACGCTGCCCTGAGCAAATGGAGTCCGGGTCCTGACAGGAGAGGGCGGCAGCCTGCCCCCGCAGAGAAGGACCTGAGGTTAATATGTTCAATATTAATAATACCTGGAATCCAGCAGGAAGTAAAACCAAATAATGTATAATTCTCTGATCATGAAATAAGTATAACTGGCTGATTTTTATATTTATCCGAAAGCCTCTAAGTAACGTTTCTAACTAGTGACATACTTTAGGCAAGGAATTCCTGGTTGCCTAGATCCATGATGTCTAAACATAGCACAATGGAGGAATTTCTTGATCCAAAGAACTAGCTTTTATACCAACTTGGCCTCTTGATAAGGCTCTGCTCCAGAGGTTCCCAGCCCCCTACACATTAGGATTGCCTGAGGATTCAGAAAACACCAAGGAGGGGATAGGGAGTGGGGGGTAGAGCACATCCTGCCATCGGTACTCAAGGCTCCCAGGTGACTGTAATGTGCAGCCAGGGTTTGGAACCACTGGTTCCGACTCTGATCCTGTGAGTACCACAGTAGAGACACACACTGTTCCCAGAGCCAGATCTCTCAGCTGCTTGCCAGAACTTGAAAGCAAGCACGCACTTGACTAAGATGAAGGGGTCATTATTTCTCCATCCTCTAAACAGAAAGATAAACAAGCTGCCCTAGTGGAGCGCAGCCAAGGGCTGGGAATGGCTTTTTAGAGGGCACAGTTCATGTACTCAACAGGGAGAGCTGAGTTTCCCTTTTTGGAGCTGCAAGCAATGCTTCTAGATTTGCACCAGAGAAGGGACTGGAGAAGCCTCCAATTTCTAACATTTCCTCCTGGTTAGGAAGCATTCTAGAAGCTAATACTTCTCCCCACTCCAGCTAACACAGGAGGTTAGCAGTGCAGACTAGACAAGACCATGGTGGCTGGGGGAGAGGCGGTCAAGATTTCCCAAGAGGAGGCAGAAACTGAGCAGATTTTTGAAGTTTTCCCAGGTACATTAGACGCAGGTACCTTTTTCCTAGCCAGGTCCATCACAGTTTCCTCCATAAAGTTCTACACCTTTCTCACACACACAGTGTTTGAAAAGTTACCTGGCGTGAGAATATGCCCTCTTCTAGCTGAAACCGCACTGTCAATTAGCACTTGATCCCACGGCAACTATGGTGGCAACACACACCCTCGTGTCTCATTTGACAAGGTTCTGGAGAAAACAGTCGCCCTTCACTATTTGGTAAAGTCATGTTATATTTTTAACCTGGTGGAGTAATCAGTCGAATCACAGACATGACAGCAGGCTTCGTGATCTTTTTGTCCTTGTTATTCTTAGCTCAACTTCCAACTGAGTAAAGGTTTTGTTGTGTATTTACTAAGGGGGTTAAAAATTTTATTCCTTCTCAGCAGGGAAGAGTTGGCCCTTCTTATGCTTTTCACTCTGAACCTTGGGCACGTTGGCTTGGGAATGCCACCAGGGAAAAACTCACTTGTCTTTCATCATCAAGCAGCAGCAAAAAAATATATCAAGAGCTCATTGATTCAGAATAAAGGAAGGAAGGAGATTGTCCAAGAAAGTGTTACGTCCAAGTAACTGAGGGTCTGAAATAACGCAGGGATTTTTTTATTTTTTTATTTTTTTTTTGGTGAGGAAGATTGGCCCTGAGCTAACATCTGTTGCCAATCTTCCTCTCTTTTGTATGTGGGATGCCACCATGGCATGGCTTGATGAGCAGTTGTATAGGTACACGCCCGGGGTCTGAACCCACGAACCCCAGGCCGCCAAAGTGGAGCACAGGAACCCAACCATCACGCCACCGGGCTGGCCCCCTTTTTGTTAATTTTTAACTATGTTCACTCCTTCAGTGAAACTTCCAAATATTGTGATAAATAAAATGACAAATTTTCAATACTTCACAATGTACCATAGCAGCCTATATTACATAAAAAGATGAGGCGCCAGCCCCGTGGCTTAGTGGTTAAGTGCTCGCGCTCCGCTACTGGCAGCCCAGGTTCGGATCCTGGGCACGCACCAATGCACCGCTTCTCCGGCCATGCTGAGGCCGTGTCCCACATACACCAACTGGAAGGATGTGCAAGTATGACATACAACTAGCTACTGGGGCTTTGGAGGGGAAAAAAAAAAAAAGGAGGAGGATTGGCAATAGATGTTAGCTCAGAGCTGGTCTTCCTCACACACAAAAAAAATAATAATGTCCTAAATATACTTTTAATAGCTCTCAAACTTTTTTTTATAATGTTCTGCTTATTAGTAAAAGTCATTAATGGAGGTTACAAATTTTAAATCGGGTGGTTTCAAACTAATGAGGTGTTAGGTGGCCGTGAGTTAAAATATGGATGTAATATCGGTATTAAAAAGATCATACTATGGGAGTAAAATTGTGTATAGCAGTTCTTGCAATAATTCAGAATACTAACATTTGGATTCACGTAAAGTTTTAATTTCTAGGGCAAAACCTAACAGCCAGGTGCTAAATACTACCAATGTTACCAGAATAAATAAAAATGGATGCCTAAATACTATATTATTCTAAAACAAGATATCCTTTTCAATGACTGCCTCATCCTTTTTCGAACTAGCAAGACTGTGAAGGAATCCATCACTTGTTAATGCCTGCCCACCCAGTGGGAAGCATCCGGTCCACAGCCAGAGAGCCAGGCTGATACAGGAGTGAACCCAAAGACTCTCAGCCTCTCCTAAGGCAACACAGGCTTAGAGTCAAGGGCCAAAGGCAGCCCCCAGCCAGCAGCAGGGCCTTTCCACGCTGTAGAGGGAGGTCAGTCCCTCACACTCACCTTTCTCTTTTTGGCCAACTTGCTTGAGTTGTCTGCGCTTCTCTTCTCAGAGTCGAGCTTCTTCCCTGCCGGCGGCTGTCTGTCTTCTGGCTTCCTCTGGCGGCTCCCCTTCCCAGGCGGCTGGGGTATCCGAGAGAGGAGCTCGAGGGTGATCTTCACCATCAGGGTCTGCGGGGGAGGAGTGTCCCTGAGCGGGGAGAGCAGCTTGGTGTCCCTCGGAGGCACGGGGAGCTTGTCCTTCCGGCGATCCTCCTGGACCACCACAGCCCGGCGACAGCCACTAGTCCTGCCGCCGCCGCGGGGGGGCCCCTGGCTCTGAGTCAGGGGGACGAGGGCGAAGTGCTCGGGGCTCCTGTCCTCCACATTGTCCTTCGTGGGCTCGGGGCCCGGGAGCGCCTTCGGGGGGACGGGCGGGCCGCTCCGGTGCTTCTTCCTCTCGCCGGGGGCGGGCCCCGCGGGCCTGGGCTCCCTGCCGTCCGCGGCGCGGGGGCGCCCTTTCGTCTTCACCTTGGGCTTGTCTTTGGCAGGCTGGTCTCCAGGGCCGTGGGGAGGGGGGCCCGGCTCGCTCTCCACCTGCAAGCCCGCCCGCGCATCCGCCGGCGCGGGGGCCTTGCCGGACTTTCTGGGTTGTTTGGTTCCAACAGTTTGCCTCTGCGGGGGCTCCTGTTGGGCAGGGGACTTCTGAGAGCTCCTCTTGCCCGCGTGGGGGCCCTCGGAGGGGAGCCGGGGAGCTTTGCTGGAGCTTTTGGGGGCAGGATCTTTGGATTCCGAGTGCTCGTGACCGGCGCCGCTGCCGCCACCGTCGCCCTTGCCCTTACCGTCGAGGTGGCGCGGCGGGGGCTCTGCGCCCCCCAGGGCCTCTGGGGGCGCCGCCGGCTGGCTGACTTTGGTCAGCCAGTTGTCCAGCTGCCATTTGTTTGTTGTCGGAGGCTCGGGCTAAAAAACAAGGAAAAAGAGAAAAGTGTTAGCTGACCGATGATGATAAATTCCTCTTTTGTGTTAGTCACACCATCCTACAGGACTGTGGGTGAGACGCAATCCTTACCAACCTAATTATTCAGGTCCTTTTTATCCCCCTCGAATTACAGGTCAAATTCTATAACAACTCTTAAAACAATCTTCCAATTTGTTTTTGTGCTACAGGAATTTTGCTGTAGCAGATATCGACTAATAACAAACCATTAGATATTCACCACTATAGCCCACTGACAACTGCAGAGAAATCTTTGTAACATAAATAGCTTGCTCTAAGGGTAATTACAGTATAATTCAAACAGAACTGACACATTATGGCTTGTAAACTATTCTATCAGAAAATAACAGGGAGAAATGAATAAAAAGAATCCTTTCATCAAGGATTTTCAGAAAAAGGCTAATGAGTAAACTAAGTCTTAGTGATTACCGATGGGTTTCGTGCTTTATCCTTTTTTGACATACTTTTCCACTGAAAATGAATTTCTTCAAGACTTCATTTCTTTTATCTACTTAAAAACATTATAAACATTTATACATGATGAGGTTTTTCAGTGTATCACAGATATATGTATATATCTGTGATGTGATTTTCAAATTTTATACCTTGGTAAAAAGAGTCAAGTGAGGTCACATTAGCCAAGCATTAGTACCACTTGAATTCTTTAAAAATCAAACATTAAATCTCTTGTTACAGGCAATCTGGTCTGAAATAACACCTATTTTTCTAAGAAACATAAGGAGGCTCCAGAGCACACAATTAAGAGCAGCAAGATTACACTGATTATCTGTACAACTGATTTTTCAAATAAACAGAAGTTCTTACCTTCTGTTATCTTAACTGTTTAAATCTTTGTTGCTGACTATTGATGCATCCCTCCATCTCTCTCCAACTAGGCTACTAGATCTTATAAACAGAATGATAGAGATGGTTCTATCTCCAAATGCTACTGTTATGTCTTGCATACAGTGGTACACATGAGATACTTACTTGAGCATTCCTGTAGGTATATTACTATACCTGTAAGTTTTATGCCATATAGAAAAATATTAGTGTCTCATAGAGTAAGCAATGATCATATATTTTTATATATATCACTGCCCTTCACATGCTACATGCTTACATGCTACATGTGTTTAAGATCCATTCTGACAGGTGGTTTGTATGAATGAGTAAATCATATACACAATGCACCAGGAAGTTAATTGAAAGATAGTCCACATGGGATTTAACTGATTAGAATATGGGTAAGGAAATCACTCCAGTAGGTGGATATTTTATGGGGAAGATTGCTAACAATTTTCCCAAATGGAAGATCCCAAATAATTCAACTCTATAAACCTGCAAACTTAATACATGCAAGATATGTGGATATAACGTAAAGGCTTTTTGGCCAAGAAAAGGTTAGGTAATAAAATGACCAGGTAGGTAGTTTGGGCTTAGTGTGATTGTAACAGAATAGAACTAAGAGGAACTTGAAGGAACCAGGTAGGATCATACTTCAGCCAGAAAGAGAGCTGCAGAATTCAGTTTTTTCTGCTTACCCCATATTGCTGCCTAAGACAACCTATCTCCTTTACAGCTCCCTTCACTTACATCAACCCCATGCCCATGCTCTCATTGGAACTTCAGAGCAGGGAGGGAGGGGAGAAGGAAATCACTCTTAAGTGCCAGGCATTTTGTCAGAGGTAATCTAAAACGGTATTCAATGTTCTCACAAGACAGGATGATTGTTAAGGGCAGAGAAAAGATTAGCAGACAATACCTACTTGTCAAACATTATTTCTTGCAAAGACTTGAGGATGTGGTAATACTAGTGGTTAATTGACTGGGGACAAGGCACTAGAATGTATCACTTGCCAACCACCTCAGGAACCAAACCCTTCAAAAGCCCTTTCTCAAGAAAGGTATGGATCTCTCTCACCAGGGCCATGTTTACCTCTGCCCTCCCATCACTGACATGCTCCACAGAAGAGTATTTATGCAGGAACCAAACACGAAAGTCATTCCCGGTATAAATAACATCTGCTTCCCCACCCCACCCCCACCCCAAAACGGGGCAGTGTAAGATACATTTAGCGGTCCCTAAAGGAATGTCCTGGTTACAGAAATAAAACACATTTTCTTCCACTGCAGTCCTAAAAATGTCCAGAAGGGAGGTGTATGGCCCAATTGCAGGGTATTGAGTTGGTGTGCCCAGACAAGGGGAGAGGGTAGGGGCAATCCTTCTAGTATACCCACTGTAAAGATGTAAAATGGATAAAATTCCTTTAAGGTCAGATATTATGCAGGCATTGGGATAGGGTAAACTTTTACACAAAGGATTGATTAAAAATATTTTGGGGCCGGCCCTGTGGCCTACTGGTTAAGTTCAGCGCACTCCACTTGGGTGGCCTGGGTTTGGTTCTCGGGTACCGACCTACACCACTCGTCGGTGGTCATGCTGTGGCAGCAACCCACATATAAAATAGAGGAAGACTGGCACAGATGTCAGCTCAGGGCAAATCTTCCACAGCAAAAAAATAAATAAATAAATAAATAAATAAAAGATTTTAAAATGAGTGCAAATGCTGGACAGGATCAAGGTTTGGACTTGCATTTCTTCCTCTGCCTTCCCTCACACCCTGCCCCCTGCATCCCAGTGCGGGTGCAAACCAAGCACTGCACATTGCAAGTGAAAAAACACGATTCATTTTCATTAAGTTTTTTTTTTTTTTTTGTGCTGAGGAAGACTGGCCCTGGGCTAAATCTGTGCCCAACTTCTTCCACTTTATATGGGACGCCGCCACAGCATGGCCTGACAAGTGGTACATCAGTGCATACCTGGGATCCGAACCCTGGCCACCAGCAGCGGAGCGCACACACTTAACCACTATGCCAAGGGGCCGGCCCTCACTAAGTGTTTTAATAAAGGTTTAACAATATGTCCCTTTACCTTTCCTAACTTCTCAAATTGGTAAAAGTTCAGTATTTTAGAATGAATTATGATTTTTAATGAAAAGTTTTGAGTTATGCACTACTTTTCTTTTAGTAAAACATCATAGTTGTGAAAGAGGATGAGTCTAAAAATTAAAAGAGAAAAAAGAAGAAAGGAGAAAAGTAGCACGTTGTAGTAGAAAACAAAGGATTCCGAGTTACATGGCCTATGGGTTTGAATCTCAGGGCTGCTACTTCCTTACAGGCGAAAAGAAACCTACTGAAGGGGTTCAGAACAGCCTTCCCCAAGATTTCCACTTTGGTGTGTGGAATATTTTGAGCTAAAGGCAATGGAGACCCTGCTGGCTCAAGATAAACTTTTATGTCTCCCTTAAAGAATTTAAATGGGGACCTTGTCTATAACAAGACTTATTACCAGAAACACCATTTTTATGACCGATCTGTATGGCAGGGCAAACCTCTAACTACTGAACATCTGCTCTTCTCATTGTCCTGTGAATTAGCCCCCTTCCCTCTGAAGCCCCATGCTCCTATCCCATTTTTTAGCTCAAGATGTCATATATACCTCATTTTACCTTTCTGTCTCTGAACTTCTCATGTATGTGGGGTCTCTGACTCTCTCATGTATGTGGGGTTGCCATACATGTGCAATTAAATTTGATTTTCTCCTGTTAATCTGTCGCATGTCAATTTAATTCTTTGACCAGCCAGAAGAACCTAGAAGGGCAGAGGAAAATTTCTTCCTCCCCCACAGTTGGCATCATCAGCAGGATAAACTTCCCTGGCTGGACTCTGCTCCCTCCAAGGCTGCTGCAGCTGAGAGATCCTGGGACATCTGACAAGCACCAGCAGAAGGTAAGAGTTCTTAGCCCATCAGGCTCCCAGATCTCTGCCTGCTGCAGGGTCTGTTGGAAGAGAGGGTGATAAGCAATTTAATTCTTAGACCAGCCAGAGGAACCGAGAAGGGTAGAGAAAAATTTCTTCCTCTCCCACACTACCAACCTTCTCGGGTTGATGGAAGGTTAAATCAAATAATTTATGAAAAAGTACCAAGAGCCTAACAGTCAATCAACCAAGGAATTTTACTACCAAAGAACCAGACAATGAATAGTTCAGAAAACTAAGCAGATTCCTGAATAACCAAGAACAGAATCATTTTTTTCTGAATTTTACTTAAGCAGTAAAAAGGTGATGTGTCATATATTTTGAAAAGCTGAGATTTACATTTTGATTCACACTATAAAGCAGACACTGAAAGCCGCTTTTCCCCTAGTTCACCACCAGCCTACTGGCATGCAGAGAACCTTCCACATCTCTTGAAGATCACTGGACTACTTTGTCAAACGAATTTAAAATGGAGCCATAAAAAGCAAATTTCTCAGCATTAAAAATCAAAGGGGGCCAGGCCAGTGGCATAGTAATTAAGTTTATGTGCTCTGCTTCGGCGGCCCAGGGTTTGCAGGTTCAGATCCTGGGCTTGGACCTACGCACCGCTCATCAAGCCATGCTGTGGCAGCGTCCCACATACAAGATAGAAGATGAGCACAGATGTTAGCTCAGGGCCAATCTTCCTCACACACACAAAAAACATCAAATAAAGAAAAAGTGAGAAAATTAAAACTAGTAACTATGATCTCTTATGGAATTCATGTTACTCTCAGCACACACAGGAGATTTATAATAAGACAAGTATTTATTTTAAAAGGAAAGTAGTTAAATACTCTGGGGAAAATTAAAGGTTTAAAATCTAGACAGAGACAAAATATTTCTGGGGAAGTCAAGCCTCAGTACATAACATACAAACCATACCCAAGTCTAGATTTGCACACTGACACAAACGTACAAATATAAGCTTATTTAGTAAGGCGATTTAAAAAAATAAACTAGGATGGGAACATTTTTCATCTAAGAGTCTCTAAATCTATTACAGTAACCTCTTGAGCAACAAGATATAACTGTTTCATTAATACCAGCAGCAGAGTAAGTTTTTCTTTCAAGTTTCAATTAGTCAGCCAAATTTGTGCTGTTTTACTTTTATTTGAATTGAATTTTAATATTTAATTGAATTCTCTTCCGTGTATCAGTAACCAAACAAGCATGCACTTTTCTTACTGAAAAAGGTAAGACATAAAGCAAAGTCTTATAAACACTAACAGTGAGAACAATCACACAATTTGTCTGCAGAATGTATTCAATATCGTTTTCTCTGAGGCGTAGGAAAATTATTTCAACAGCAATTAGTATCATACAAGGAAACAGAGGAAAACAAGAAAACAGAGAGCCCCCAGAAACACACAGAGTAGTTTCTAAAATCTGTAAGGCACTGCAAGTGCAGTTAATGCTGACCCATGTTTATTCACTCCAAAAAATATTTATTAAGCACTTAGTCTGTGCCAGACATTAATTCATATCTAACAAAAAATGACACTCAGTTATTTTCTCAGCCTCCCTTGTCCTCAGCCTTGGCTCTTGAGTCTCACTACATGATCTCCAGATGGATTCGGTCAATGCTCTGGTGGAACTGCCCTGTTTTCTAAACAGCAGAGACAAACACGGAAAAGTTCAATGCTTTCTTAATCAGAAAGCATCCTTTGCTGGGATTCCCATCTGAAATATCCAGAATAATTTTCTCTATACAAGCTGGTCCAGTTCACGAAAAGTGCCTTCCCTTTTCACTATGAATCCTTCCCCAGCATAATTTTTACATCGCTACTCCAAGTTTTGAGGGCATCTGGCAACCTTGTTAGTTGTTACAAATTTCTTGTGTTCAACAATCCAGTAAATAGCATCAATCCTCTAGATAAATTTAGTGCTTGAGATTTTCAGTCTCATCTGTTTATCTTTACAATATCTCCCAAGGGTGGGTGACAGGCAAACACCATTATCCCTGATTCACATGGGGCAGAGGCAGCAAGAAGCACAGCCCTGGCAAAATCATTTCGCCATCAATTTAACGCGTGGCTTTTAGTGATTCAAAAATAGAACCTGTGATAACTTATTTCTGGTTCACGTTCCTGCCCTTTGCTAAATCAGGCTGTCTCCTTTTGATTTCCTTAATTCATGCATTCCTGAAATTTCAAAAAAAATTCTCATTAATATTAAAACAGCAGCCTACTGAAAACCAGTTTTCTTTTTCAAAAGAAGGAAAAAGAAAATGGTGTGCAAACATTCTTACAGCATCTTCAAAACACCACCAGCAGCGACAGAGAAGAAGCCATCATTTTAAACAGGAGAGAGAAGACACTTCTCCCAAACGTCCATCACCAAATGTTTGGTAAGAAATAAGTAAACAGCTGGCTGCACACAGCCAAGGAGCAGGAAGGCACTGCTCCGTGGGACAGAACCACTCAGTCCCACGGTCAGTGCTGGTCCACAGTAGACTCTAGCCCCAAAAGACAGAATGCTGCCATTTTAGATCGCCTCCTGAAGGGGACACAGTACCTCAGGAGCCGGAGTTTCTAGGGGCTCATTCTCTTCACTGTCACTTGAGCTGCTCTCACTCTCCGAGTCCGAGGAGCTGTCTGAGTCACTGGTGCTCTCTGACTCCGCACTGCTGGAATGTGCTGAGGCCGCGGCTTCTGGAAGCGACTGTGGAGCACTGCAAAGCAACCGAACGAGGGAATCAGAAGTCACCACACAAGGTGGATTTCTTCCCTCTTTACCCATTTCCCTCTTTGCCCATTTTTCTGCTACTCGAAAGGAAGGGCCTCGATAATACTTAATATTACTAAATTACCATATCATCCGTTCAGAGAAAAGCCCACAGTGACTCAAAAAGCAGCAAAAAAAACCCTTAAAACAGCTCACCAGATAACTGCACAAAAGAGAAGCCTGTGGAATTTTGCTTCTAAAGAACATTTCAAGCTACACAAAATTTAAGTTAGATGCTGGGTGCTTTATTTCAGGGGTTGGTGAACCACGGTCTGGGCTGGCTGCCTGTTTTTCTAAATAAAGTTTTACTGGAACACATCCACACACATTATTTTATGTATTGTCTATGTCTGCTTTTACACAACAAAAGCAGGGTTGAGTAGTGGCAACAAAGACTATGCAGCCCACCAAGCCTAAAATATTTACTCTCTGACCCTTTAATTCTGCTGACCCTTCCTGTATATAACCTAAAGAAGTTAATTTTTAGAGGAAAAGCCAATACGTTGAAATCTCCCTCTATCCTCTATATGAGAACTAACCGTCTGGTAGCCAAAGACTACTGAATATTAATGGTGTTCCTTTGGAAAGTGACCTCAAAGGCAATACACTCACACTTCTTGGGCATAATTATAAAAGGGGCCATTCTTTATGAGTGGCTTAGGATCATCCCCAAATATCAGCTGACGTAGAGATTAACTACTGTGAGTTTTAAGAAAAGGACATTAACTCTAGGCCAGAGAGAAAACACATCCGGGTCCCCCTGCTGGACACATACAGAATTTCAAAGCATATCTTAAAACCTTGCCCTACAGGGTATTAGCCAAAGCAGTAAATCAGTAACTATAACCTTTAAAGCCTCCAAATCTACCCAGAATATTTTCAAAACAATAAATTTAATAAAATTATTATTATATTAGAATACGCAGAATAACAAAAATTATTAGATAAGAAATCACTAGTTGAGGTAATTTTAACACAAACACTATGCTATGACAATTTCCTCATATGAACTGCTGTGTCAAGATTGTGATCCTTTCACACTGGGGGCTGAAGAGTTTAAGCCAGTAACAATCACAATAAGACACAACTTCAATGTTATTCCTGCCTCTAATTTATCCCCACCTTGCTTTTTCTTTTCCTCCACTTTTAAGTTAGACTAGTTTGTCATATTTTATGAGTTATCAGCCTCTAGAAATTACTGAACAAAATGGGATATAAATAAATAAGCAGAGCTTATGAATCCCTAAGACCTCACATAATTACACGATCTTTCTCCATCTTAACTATAACATCACCTGTAGGAGACGGAAGATTTTATTGCTGAGCTTGTCTCAGAATGGATGACCACATCTCAAGGGAGTAAAACAGCTACAGTGTAACTTAACTCTTTGTCCACGGAAGGCGGTATTGGCATATTAAATCACTAAATTCAGTACCAGAGGAAAATATTATCAAGGTAGTTCAGATAGTTCCCATTTCCAAAAATTAAAGCATCACGTTTTCTAAAATATGGTTAGCTGTCTACGAAGTAAAAACAGTGCCATTTTCCATCACACTAAAATGTTCTGCAGGTCATTTTTAAAAGCAGCTGAACCAATTAGAAAATTCATACAACTAAGAAAATGGGCACTATGGGAAACAATTTCTGGAAATAATTCAGCTTTATGATTTCTGAAAACACAGCAAACCCGTCACTTTCACAAAAACATTGGGGTCTTCAGCATAACTTTTCAAATACTGTTTACATTATACTGATGAAAGTGATTTAAGCTTATTTTTAAACTCTCAAAAATTTTAAACATACAAACTGAGGATTCAGGTGGGGGCAGGGACTCTTTTACAGAGTTAACAACCTCTCTACGGCTGATTTAAGTTTCTAAAATATGAAACAGGTACTTTCTTACAACTGTGATCCTCCATCTCCTTCCCCCGTGAAGAAGCTATGAAAGCACAAAATAAGGTGTATTTTTCCCATTTGGTAAAAAAAAAAAAAAAAAAGCAAACATTTTGTACAGATGGGGAGAAACCCGCACACGGTACCTTGGAGGTGCAGATGCGGAAGGAGGCTTCTCTGGGGTCTAAGCATTCACAGTAAGGGGAAGAAGGACCAGGAAAGAACAAAAAACAGGTTAGGATAAGCAGCTCAGAAACGTTAGACGGATTTAAAAGGCTTCCTGCTATCATGAGGCGTACAACACTTACTTGTTCGCCGTCACTACCCTCACTGTCGCTGAGCTGAAGGTCATCTTCCAGCATGCTGGAATGGGCAGAGACAGAGATGTTGGAGAATTTAAAATAATTTCTAATAACTTCTTTTAGCATATAAATAGAAAACATGTTTAATGATACAAAAGAGGGATGGGATAGGCATAAGTTTTATTTATTTATCAAATGCTTTATTTTCCTGGAAATGTAAGTTTTACAGTTATAACACAGAAACTAGTTCAGTCCAACCTCCTTACCATCTCAAAACTGTACCTTTCACACATTCTAAGCATGAAAAGCAGAACTACCACAAGACAAGGATCTGTTACCAGCCCTGAGACTCAAGTTCTTAGGTCCACACAAACAAAACAACCACCACCACCAACAACAAAAAAGACAGACAGAGAAAATATACACAACACACACAAAATATTTTCTTCTATAGTCTCTAACAACTAGAATAAATGATTAACCATTAAATGTGCTAATAGTGGATGAATATTTGTAAAGTATTCCAAAGTGCCTTTGGAACAGGCACTTAAAAAGTGCTCTATATGAATACAATACAGAGTGAGATGTATGAAGCTATCAAGGCAACTGTCACCAAGTAGTGCAAACAGTTATTTTACAGTTTTGTCCAAAGGTCATTATTAATACTGAACTTTATTTTTCACACACAAAAAAACATTCTCTTTTGTCTGCTTGAACACTAATCAGTGAAAAGGGTAGTAATACAAATAATATTGTGTCTAGAAAATATGTTTAACCTTACTGCTATCACTATGGTGAAAATAAAAACTCAGTTTATATGGTTGATATAGCTTTTAACATTTTCTGCTTCTCTAGATTGTCAAATTTTCTCAAATGTGTTCATATATATTATTTTTAAAAGGGAAATGTAGATAAGAAACCTAAAATATATCACTTCCTCCTAGGGAAAAAAAAACAAAACAAAAACTCAGTTTACCTCCTCAAAGTTATATTAATACTTATCTCTAGGCATTCTGGTTTATGATGAACCTAAATATTAAAAGCAAACATTTTCCAATCTGTACATGTTGAGTGTACTCAAGTCTTAGCCCCTATCCTATCTCTTCCCCTTTACCTTCTTCCATGGAGATAATTAAATATCAAAGGAATGAATCAGTAATTGCTCCCTCCCATTTTCCCCAAAATTTATGAGCACGACTATTTGAGGAAATGTGAGAAGAAAAAAAAAATCTGGTTGAGTATTACTGACACTCCAAAAAGCAAATGATATTAGAAGTTACAATCCTTCAGTATTTCTAAAAATACCTCTTCAATAATCTGACCAACAATTTTTACTGCAAACCCACCACCTGCCATTGAAGTAAGCAGCCATGATTACTTTGAGAATCCTTTGTAAAAATCACTATATCTCCTAATGAAAATAAATGATAAAACTTAGCTCTTTCATAATGACTGCCTATGTGCAATGTTGTAATTCTGCCAAGGAATTATTTTCACCAACAAATTTACTAACAACATCTTGTGATAAGTTTCTAAAAAATATGAAAACTGAAAGCTACTTGTAAATGCAGATCTTGCTCAATATTTACCTAAGGGAAGCTGAATTCATATTTTAGCAAGGCTAGAAAACACAGCATCCAGATGTAGGACTTGGAAGAAGCAATCATAATGCTGTACAAGAAAAAGTCACTCAACAGGTTTACTGCTAAATGGTGGCTTGGCTGGGGTACACACAAGCAAAAGATAAAAGATGTATCTTTGGAATAAATGTTAGGTATAATACAACCAGAAAAAAAAATCTGGCAAAGTGTATTCAGTATTAGCCACTAACAACAAAACCACAGCAAATGGACCTCTTTGTTTCTTAGTCATTGGGTTCGTTTTGTATAGAATTGATTTGCTGTAATTTCCTGAAACATCAACGATCATGTAATTCAACCATGCTTCCTATTGCAAGCGGAGGACTAAATACCCTCCAAGTTGTTTGCCTAACTACTGAATGCCTAGCTTCCATGAATATACTCTCCTAAAGTAAGTCAGAAAGTTTATTTTCTAACTTTTAGCTCTACTTGCTCTTAGGGAATAAAAAGGGACTGTAAAAATGCTGTCCCAAATTCTGAAAATTTCCCCTTCAGAGAGTTAGGTAGACAATAACAAAATCAGCCTGCAAGTACAAAACTTATTCAGGATATAAAGAATTGAGGGACAGTGAGCTCTGAAAGAAGATTACTAAAGATATTTCCAAAGAAACATTCACTCAAAAAGAAATGATATACCAATAGGGTCAAACAAAATCTATCACTTACATAGCATGTCCCAGGGACTTACACATGGTTACTTCATTTCATCGAAACTCATGGGTACAATTTATTTGACATGAGAACCAGCAGGCATAGCGTATTGTCTGTCTGCCAACACAGCCAGCAGTAACCACAGAATCTTCCAAAAACCATGGTTCATTTTATCACCAGAGATGGGTAGCTCAACATAAACCAGCATGCTATTAGTGGGGAAAAGAAAGATATTTTCTAAAGTTTTTGATAACAAATATGTATTGTACCTCTATTAAGAAAAAAGGTTACTTAAAAACCATAACTAAGTTTTGCTAATATAGAAAATTAATCACAAATGCCATTGTGATTAAAAAAGAAAACTCTTGGGCCAGCCCCATGGTATAGCGGTTAAGTGCGCACGCTCCGCTGCTGATGGCCCGGGTTCAGATCCCAGGCGTGCACTGACACACTGCTTGTCGGGCCATGCTGTGGCGGCGTCCCATATAAAGTGGAGGAAGATGGGCACGGATGTTAGCTCAGGGCCAGTCTTC